ATCGCCGCCCGATAAGCAGACAACAAACAAGCCGCCATTTTGTTAATCAAGTCAGAGGTGCATTGTTACGTAATCATGCATCAGCATGGAGCAAAAAAAAAAGCTAACATTAAATTCTTGTTAATGCTCTGAAAAAGCGCCATTGTGTCAGTTGAATTGATGCGATAAGTTTATAGTGATACTTGTTTATCTAGTGCACAGATTTTCAGCAGGTAATCACGATTCGAAAGTGGTGTGGAAATGATTACTAATGCAACTAGACCTTGACGCCCAATTCCTGTTCGTAATGAGGAACTCATTGCAAAATTACGAGAACGGATACAACTGACTTTCTTACCCCACCAGGACATCACACATGCGATAAACACCCGATGACACAAAGTGCCACCATGTGGATGAGGATCACCGTGGAGAGGTCCCAGAAACCGCGTTCAGACAATTGGCCATATTTATGGCCTGCCTATATTGCGGCCCCTGGCAAAAGCCAGGGTGGGGCTTCAAATAACAAAAAATTTCATCCTCAAAAGGACGGAACTGAATAACGAGAACGGATACAAGAAGATCGTTGTTCGACTGTGTGGATGATGGTAGAGGAATTTGGTGTTAATACAGAGACTACTGGTAAAATTTTAGTGGAAGATTTGGGCAAGAAAAAAGTTGCTTGTCGGTTTGTTTTCAAAACCTGGCAATTTTTTTCCTTTTTCTTGACAATTCACTAGCTCAAAAGGCGGTGGTTGTACAGAAATGTTTGACCCAAAAACAGATGCGTGTTCTCAACCATTCCCAGATTTGTCTCCCTGTGAGTATTTTATATTTCTAAAATTAAAGTTGCCATTGAAAGGACGCTTCTTTGATAATATTGATGGCATCCAAAGGGCCACAACATCGATTAAAGGGCCATAAAACAGAAGAACTACAGAGTTCGTTCCAGTGTTTGTTAGTGCCACTCGCTGTGTCAATGCACAAGATGCTTACTCTGAATCAGATACAGGTTATATCTTCAGCTGTTGATTATTTTAATTTTATGGAATTAGTCTCATTACTTAATTGTCGGACCTTGCGCGCGTGTGTGTGTGTGTGTGTGTGTGTGTGTGTGTGTGTGTGTGTGTGTGTATATATATATATATATATATATATATATATATATATATATAATAATACCAAATTTCGTCCTTTTAGGACGAAATTTTTTGTCATTTGAAGCCCCACTCTGGCTTTTGCCAGGGGCCGCAATATAGGCAGGCCATTTATATGGCCAAATGTCTGAACGCGGTTTCTGGGACCTCTCCACGGCGATCCTCATCCACATGGTGGCACTTTGTGTCATCGGGTGTTTATCGCTTGTGTGATGTCCTGGTGGGGTAGAAAGTCAGTCAGTCAGTCTTCTCGTCTTTTTAGGATGATATTTTTCGTTTTTTGAAGCCCTACCCTGGCTCTTGTCAGAGGCCGCAATATAGCCAGGCCATAAATATGGCCTAATGGCTGAACGCAGTTTCTGGGACCTCTCCACGGGTGATCCTTATCCACATGGTGGCAATTTGTGTCATCGGGTGTTTATCGCTTGTGTGATGTCCTCGTGGGGTAAAATGGACTACTACTACTACATGGCTTGATATCCTCGCCGATGGAAACATTCTGACAAAAACGACGAAGCAATGCAGCCACCTCGAAAAAGTCATAACATCTCATCACTATGGCAAAGTGGCTTTTAGCCACTTGTAAACGATACCAGTTAATTATGTCGACTTGAGTGACCATACAATTCGTAGCTCAAAATGGGACATACCACTAATGTAATAAGCTGAACACGGGACAACTCAATAATATTTTAAGCTAAAAACGGGACATTCTGAGACATGTATCTGTATTGGCTGCAAAATCAGTGTTCTGCATCTAATTTTACAAAATATGCACACAATAATCGTTCTGTAAAAACAAGCTTTAAGAAAATATATATCTACATACAACAAGGAATGGACTAATAATATAAAAATACGTTGTCAAATAATTTTAATGGACACTAGAGATTAAATAATAATTTTCCTTATAAAATTAATCTACAGTTTTATGCCACGACCAGCCACAGCGTAGGGCTGTCTTGGTGGTACAGTACCCACAATACCTGGGTTTGTGTGTGTGTGTGTGTTTGTGTGTGTGTGTGTGTGTGCTGAGATAGGGAAACAATAGGGAGGGGAGGTAAAGGGAACCGAACACTCTCAAATGTATCTCAACAAAACTATTAGTATGTATATATATATATATGCACACACACAAACACACACACACACACAGACAAAATTGCACATGAATTTTGTAAAGATAACTATTGAATCTGTTTTATGACAAACAACATGGTAACCGATCTTTTCAGTACATTTGTTATTGTTTGCAATTTAATGAAGGATATATGTTCTGAAGTGGTAGGTATGTAGGTAAGTTGTACTCCACAGGAGAGCACACACGTGATAAACACCAGGTGACACAAAGTGCCACCATGCGGATGAGGATCAACCCTTCAGCCATTAGACTATATAAGGGGATGACAATTAGTGGTATCATGAGCTAGTTTCTAATGTTTGTTTTTAAATGTTGTACTTTTTAATAATCATTATCAGACAATTAAAACAATTATTTGTTATCCATGACCAATGACAATATTGCCTGTAGCCCATTTGTTATTATTTACAAAATCACAATAAAATATCGCCGTTCACACACATTTACCATGCTTACAAATTTAGCCCCCACCCAGCCCAACAGCCCCTCCCCCCACTAAATAAACACTATATCAAACGATGGGATTAATTTCCTTGAAAAGATATTTTACTACTAAATCTATGAAAATACAAACTGCCATTTAGAAATAATTTTCTTACATTGTCATCTACAAAGTCTGTATCTGTGCAAAATTAGAGTTGTATAGCTTATCAGTAGATGATGTAAAAAATGAAGAGCAATCTATCTTGTCTAAGAGCAATCTGTCTTGTCTAAGAGTAATTTGTTTTGACTAAGAGCAATCTATCTTGTCTAAGAGCAATCTATCTTGTCTAAGAGTACAAAAAGCTGTGTTCAACTCTGCTTGCACTGGTTGTTATCTAGGAGATGATGTGTATAGTGAATGCCCTTAGCAAACATTCTACAATGACATAACTGGGACAAGCCGACACCGACTTAGCAGTACGATACATCAGTTTATTGACATCTTAACACTTAAAGAAATGTCCGGTCCTTGTCCTATTAAACAGCTTTCACACACCACATTACCCAGACTCCAACATGCTGGTTTCTCACGCAGTCACTGACCAGAGTTCGTACAGACGAATCTGGTTCTTCTCCTCGACTTCATACAGACTGGCCTGGATGGTCTTGGCTTCAAATGGATGTCGTCGTCTGCTTTTCCTCTCACAGCAATCAGTCTCACGTTGGAATTTTCTTAATCAATCTCCCGTCCTTTCACTCCGACAGTTCAACACATACTAATTTGATCAGACTAGGGTCTGAACCTATACCCCGTGTTTGTTTCACGTGGCAACACGTGGTGGTCCTTTACTTCCACGTGGCGACCTGTGGTCGCCATCATCGAGTTCCACGTGATAACCCGTGGTCGTCACCTATCTTAAAAACCTCGGTTAATCAGAGTATCTGGCTTCTCTCGGTATTCTAGTTGACATTGGGCTTTCCCTCCAACCTTCCTAATCCGGGTAAAAATATCCCCCATTACAAAGACCAATCTATCTTGTCTAAGATAATCTGTCTTGTCTAAGAGTAAATTGTTTTGACTGAGAGCAATCTATCTTGTCTAAAAGCAATTTGTTTTGACTAAAAGCAGTCTATCGTGTCAAATAGCAATCTATCTTGTCTCAGAGTAATTGGTTTTGACTAAGAGAAATTCTATCTTGTCTAAGAGCAGTCTATCTTGTCTAAGAGCAATCTATCTTGTCTAAGAGCAATCTATCTTGTCTAAGAGCAATTTATCTCGTCTAAGAACAATCTATCCTGTCTAAGGGCAATCTATCTTGTCTAAGAGCAATCTATTTGGTCTAAGAGCAATCTATTCCGTCTAAGAGCAACCTATCTTGTCTAAAAGCAATCTATCTTGTCTAAAAGCAGTCTATAGTGTCAAATAGCAATCTATCGTGTCAAATAGCAATCTATCCGGTCTAAGAGCAATCTATCTTGTGTAAGAGCAATCAATTTGGTCTAAGAGCAGTCTATCTTGTCTAAGAGCAATCTATCTTGTCTAAGAGCAATCTATCTTGTCTAAGAGCAATTTATCTGGTCTAAGAGCAATACATTGTGTCTAAGAGGAATCTATCTTGTCTAACAGCAATCTATCTAGTCTAAGAGCATTCTATCTTGTCTAAGAGCAATATATCTTGTCTAAGAGCAATCTATCTTGTATAAGAGCATATATCTTGTCTAAAAGCAATCTATCTTGTCTAAGAGCATTTTGTCTTGTCTAAAAGCAATCTATCTGGTCTAAGAGCAATCTATCTTGTCTAAGAGCTATCTATCTTGTCTAAGAGCAATCTATCTTGTCTAAGAGCAATCTATTTTGTCTAAGAGCAATCTATTTGGTCTTAGAGCAATCTATCCTGTCTAAGAGCAATCTATCTTGTCTAAGAGCAATCTATCTTGTCTAAGAGCAATCTATCTTGTCTAAGAGCAATCTATTTTGTCTAAGAGCAATATATCTTGTCTAAGAGCAATCTATCTTGTCTAAAAGCAATCTATCTTGTCTAAGAGCAATCTATCTTGTCTAAAAGCAATATATCTTGTCTACGAGCATTTGTTCTTGTCTAAAAGCAATCTATCCGGTCTTAGAGCAATTTGTCTTGTCTAAGAGCAATATATCTTGTTTTTTAGTAATATATTTTGTCTAAGAGCAAATTATCTTCTCTGATAACACTGTGCATTCTCTAACAAAAATGCATCAGGTCTCGTAAAATTATATGGACATTGTTTATTATGTCTGATAACAAATGTTTTCTTTGCTACAGGAGCCATGTCTGGACACTAAAGTTATCGAGTCCCGCCACAACAGTCGACGACGACGCAGCGAATCCTTGATGTGCGTTGAGAACTCCACAGATACCAGATGCTGTAGGCACCCACTCATCGTTGGGTTCGCGGAGTTCGGCTGGGACTGGATCATAGCGCCGACCCACGTCAACGCCGACTACTGCACGGGAGAGTGTCGCATGACCATGCAGGACAACACGCCTTACAGCTGGGTCAACCAGCAAGTTCCGGGCACTAACTCTTGCTGCACACCCACCAAGTTATCCCCACTGCCTCTGATGTACTTCGATGAAAACATGCATATAGTCTATCAAATTCTACAGAACATGAAAGTCGATAAGTGCGGGTGTGCATAGTTTACGAAAAGTGGGGATATGCTTAATCTATGTTAGTGCAGTAAGACCTGGCCCATCACTGTTTCTCTTTACGTGTATGCACACGTCAGCATACCGACACACAGATAAAGTCAGACTATCAGATGCACACTGTTGTACTCAGTGTGTCGGTGACACATCTGATAAGATGCAGGTAATTCACCAAAATAATACAAGCATTGAAATGAACACTGCGTTCTTCACAAAGGTGCTGCATGCGTGTGACTAGAAAACATCAGCATTATCATCGTGACTATGCCTCATTAGTGATATACCAGACGCATCCGGTGAACTCATGCATGTAAAGTAACAATTATCACCACGGACTGACATCTGGTCTATACAATGATGGATGAAACACCAGAGATATCAGATGCCTCATTGTCGCAATAAGTGGCCCTATATTTCTTTAACTTACCAGTAGAAGCATGGGACATAGCAGCTCTCCGGGTGTTGACGAGTTCACATGAAAGCTCAAACTAAGGACAAGGGTTAAGTCAGTCACCTGTTTTGTTTACGACATATCCAGCTAGCACCCGGCCCTAGTGATGAAATGTTTCGATCCTTGTCGAAGCTGAGATTATATGTCTTCCCAGATTGACTCAGTGCTAAAATGGGTACAAGGGATTTTCCTGATATATAAAGGAGCCTGTGTGATAATGAACACATTATGCAGTACGCGTCTATTAGTTTGAAATACGAAACTAACCTGCGTCACTGGGCATGAACAGTTTCTTTAGTGAAATTACTACTGACTCTCTCTCTCTCCCCCTCTCTATCTTTCTCTCCCCCTCTCTCTCTTTCTCTCTCTCTGTCTGTCTGTCTCTTTCTCTCTCCCCCTCTCTCTCTGTCTCTCTCCCCTCTCTCTCTGTCTGTCGCTCTCTGTAAGCTTGGTATTTGTGTATGTATGTTTGTGTTATGCTCCAGTATAATAAGATATTAAAGTGCCTTCAGACTGTGCTCATGATGGTAAATCAAACATGGACGGTGACCTCAATACTGCAGTTTGAACAAAGTGAGGCTCTTGTTTACACCGGAAGTGTGATTTCATATTGTGGTGTGCACAGACATTATCTATCTGTGATTTACTTGTGTTCTGCTATGGATACGATTGTCCTTGTACCGTTATGTCGTACTGACGCCACTCACACGGGACTGACAGCAGTCTGGTCAAGGATACTAACAGATGACAGTACCGCTAACACTCAGATGACATGTCGATGTAGAACTCTGATTATTGTCGGTCAGTCAGCCAAGAGTCTATACATTTTTCATTTGTACCTATCGCAAAGTCAGTCAAACATGGCTGAATACGATTCGAATTGATCAACAATCGAAACAACAGTGTCTTAATCTCATATTAAAATGCAGTTCATGTGACGTCAATGAAAAATCCAAAAACGTCAGTGCATTATGAAATCACATGTTGTGGATAAACTACAAGTCGTATACAAATACCACGGGGACCTCAAGAGCTTCTGTGGTGACAGCCGCGAGAAAACAATGTCAATGACTGCATTAATACAGTACTGTCCGTTGAGTACAACAGTCTACTTCAGCGGCAGGGGAGATAAATGCAAGAGACAACAATTAGAACTGCTGTATGAACTAACTTGGTACTAATGCCTTAAAACCCTTTGTAACAATTGTTCTTTCATAAAACTATTCATTTGATTTTTGAAATGTTGATTTGACAAACGTCATATTATTTTAATTTTCAAATGTTATTCATTGTGATTTTAGACTGTATTTATGTCCTTTGTGATTTGTAATTATATCCGTCCTTTAATGTTATTTACAAGTCTCAGTGGCATTTATACACTATTTGCTGTCCTTTTAAGGATGAAATTTCGTTATTTGAAGCCCACCCTTGCTCTTGACAGGGGCCGCAATATAGCCAGGCCATAAATATGGCCAATTGCCAATCGGGTGTTTATCGCTTGTGTGATGTCCTGGTGGGGTAGAAAGTCAGTCAGTCACTCAGTGGCATTGAATCCAGTCATCCTCTTGTGGGAAGCAATATAGCCCGGCCATAAATATGGTTTAATGGCTGAACGCGGTTTCTGGGACCTCTCCAAAGGTTGATCCTAATCCACATGGTGGCACTTTGTGTCATCAAGTGTTTATCGCTTGTGTGTGTCCTGGTAGGGTAAAATGTACTACTACTACGCAGTGGCAACTTTGTTCAAAAACATGACCTGAACACGGACAGTTTTGGTGAAAATATTCTCTAGAACATATTTATTTTTAAAGGAGGAAACAAATCTTTGAATTCCAGTCTCCACATAGTCAATTAGTTGCCCTCTATCTCATCTTTGTTAAATCGTTGACATTCTGAAAATCAAAGCTATCTTCGATATTGTTAATGTTAAAAAAAAAAAAAAAAAACGATTGCCAAAATCGAGCCTACGTTAAGAATAGAAGTATGTTTGATAACAGTGACAACTGGGAAGCTTAGTGGGAAAATTGCAAACGGGAGACT